TAAGTTTTCCAGGGAACAAACTTGTGCGGCCAGCTAGCAATGGCACCGGCAGCGAGTCAGTTCTGCTATTAATGACCTAGCTCAGCCTTGAGAACCCCACCTGCTACAGCCCATTACCAGAATCAACGACTAGAGGAGTTGGCCTTGCAACCCAAACATAGGAACCTTACCTTCAGCTATGAATTAGCATATTTTGTTTTACATTTTTATGAATTATTTACAGTAATCATTCAACTGTAAATTTATGGTTCTACAGTAACCGAATTTATGATCCTATGTAATTCTCCTCTTTTATCAATCCAGATATTTCTACCACACGGGCTATTCATGCCCGTGCCACCTCTTGGGTGGCTTAATCTTTATCAATCAATCAATCATCATCAGTCTAGTTCCAAGAATGGTTCAGTATAGACGCTTGAGAGATGCCGCACACCTTCAGCATTCACCAACAACAATGTAACACTCGACGTGTCCAGTTCCTACCCTCACAAGATGCTTCAGTCTCGACATAGCAGACCGCCAGACTCCGGCCACATCGAGCTTCCACGCTCTCGTCCTCAGCTCCTCGACTCCACCCGTATTCAGAGCGCCACGCTCTACACACTCACCCCGTTTTCGAGCTGCTCTCTATCCCCAGCGTCACTCAGCTCTCTGCCCTGCTCCATTCTTTGGCTCAACTACTACGACAATTCACTACATTGCCAACCAACCGATTGCTGTAACCAAGACTATCTATATAAATAAAAATGGAAATGTTCGTTTGTTCAAAATCGCTAATCTCCGAAAGTTCTTCACCGATTGCCTTGAAATTTTCACACAACGTTCCATTCTCATCCAAGCGGGTTTTTATATACATACTATATAAATGTCACGTCTGTGAAGTGAAAAAACATACTTTTTTGAAAAGCTGTGTTTTTCGTGTATTTTTCATGTGAGGGAAATCTTCGAAACCTTTTTACCGATTGCTTTGAAATTTTGACACAATATTGGATCCGAATAGGCGAGTGTTTTTATATACCTACTTTATACATGTCTCACCTGTGACAGGAATAAACATGCTCGTTTTGAAAAACAGTGCCATCTGTAGGACGTAAGAGCAACACATGCTGTAATCTCCGAAAGTTCTTCACCGATTGCTTTGAAATTTTGACACAACGTTCCATTCGAATACGTGTGTGTTTCTATATACCTACTATTTAGATGCCACACCTGTGACAGGTGAAAACATGCGTTTTTTGAAAAACAGCGCCATCTGTTGCACGTAAGAGCAACACGATATACAAAATGTTACGATTCCATTTCAATGTTTCTGATTACATTGACAAATTGATTTTTCATAGATTTTGATTCATTTTTATTTAATTATTTTGTGTGACGTTGCATTGGAATTGAGCTGTGTTGTTTACCATACCGTTCATTTCGTGGGTATAGCTTATTTGTTTCTTTTTTCATTATTTTCATTTCGTTTTTTCAACTGTTCTTCTTATTTTTTAATGCAATTGGTGGTGAAATTGAGCTGTGTCGATTGGTCTGCGTTTGAATTGAAATATTTGGTTAGTATTTTTTGTTTTTAGTTTGAAAACAAGAAAATGGACAACACGATTATTTTACAGCTTCAAATGTGCAACAAATTGACATGAATCCACCGGCTACAATGTCAACTGCTTTCTTGACGTTATGTCTAAATGACGCGTTTGCAAAAACACTGCTGTATTCGGAAGTGGCTACGTATTACATATGGAATGCCAGTAGAAAATGATTTGAATGACGCAAACGAGGAGAGCGAGTCGACGGACCTCCTGGCATATTCAAACAAACTAAGATAGGCAGACTGTACACCTTGCATCCCAATCAAGATGACTGCTTCTTTCTTCGCATGCTATTGGTAAATGTGCTCAGTCCAACGTCTTTCCAGCAATGGAGATTTTTTCAAACGGCGTTACACATGCCACTTTGAATTGACATGCCATGTCAAGCTCTGAATTTATTGGTAAACGACAGACACTGGGATGTATGCATTAATGACGCATCAAACACGTCACATCCAAATCAAATTCGTGCATTGTTTACAATCATATTGACCGCCTGCTCTCCATCTACAACAGAGTTATGGGAGAAATATAAATCGCACACGGCTTCAGATATTGTCCGTCGAATATGCAAGGATAATTCAAATATGAACATGGATTTCACAGCAGAAATCTACAACGAAGCGTTGATAATGATTGAAGATTTGTGCTTAGAAATCGCGAACAAAGTTTTCATTCAGTTGGGAATGACATCACCGAATCGATCTGCTGCTGGTTCGTTCATTATAGAATTGCGTCATGGAGAAAATTACAACACAGGTGATCTGTTGTCGTATGTGCAATAAACTATTTCTAAGCTAACGCTTGAGCAAAAGAGCATTTACGATCAAATAATTCAAACTGTCAAAAATGGGATTGGAGAAATCTTCTTAGATGTGCCAGGAGGAACTGGTAAAACTTTCCTAATTAGATTGACTATAGGAGCAATTCGATCCCAAAATAGCATATTCTTAGCTCTTGCGTCAACCAGAACTGCTGCGATATTGCTTCCAGGTGGAAGAACTGTTCATTCGGCTTCGAAATTGCCATTGAACATGCAATTCAATGAAACTCCTATGTGCAATATTTCCAAAGCATCAGGCATGGGAAAAGTATTGCAGAAATGCAAACTTATTGTTTTGGAAAAATTCACAGTCGACTACAAAAAATCGCAATAAGCTCTTGATCGATCATTGTAAGATTTGCGTGGAAACATCAGACCATTTGGGAATGCATTAATATTGCTTGCAGGAAATCTCAGGCAAACATTACCTGTAATTCCTCGATCGACACCAGCGGACGAAATAAATGCTTGCTTGAAATACTCTACTTTGTGGCACCACGTAAAGAAGTGAAAATTAACTACAAATATGCATGTCTAGCTGCAAAACGATCCATCAGCTGAGATATTCTCACATCAGTTTCTGGAAATTGGGAACGGAAACGTGCCGGTTGATCTGACCTCAGGACGAATTTCATTGCCTCATAACTTCTACAATTTATTGACGTTAAAAGAAGAATTGGTTGAAAAAGTATTTCCCAATATTGAAACCAATTATAAGGATCACGATTGGCTAAGTGAACGAGCTATTCTTGCTGCCAAGAACAAGGACGTCTACGAACTTATTAATCTTATTCAGTCTAACATTCAGAGCGAGGCAGTCACATACAAGTCCGTCGACATTGTTGTGGAAGCAGATGAAGCGGTTAATTATCAAATAGAATTTTTGAATTCACTCGATCTGCCAGGGATACCATCACACGTACTGTAATTGAAACTCGGCGGCCCAATTATCATGTTGCGAGATATCAGCCAGACAGAGAAACAACAGCAACAGCACGCGGCCTGCAGTAAAAAAAATAATCAGCAACGTCGCTAAAGCAACAATCTTGTCAGGACCATTCAAAGGTGAAGATGTCCTCATTCCTCTCATTCCTGTGATTCCAACAGATATGCCATTTCAATTTAAGAGATTGCAATATCCAATTCGATTGGCGTTTGCAATCACTATCAACAAAGCTCAAGGCCAATCTTTAGAATTGTGCGGTTTATATCAAGATACGGATTGCTTCTCACATAGACAATTATATGTTGC